AAAAAAAAAAAACAAAAAAAAAAAAAAAAAAAAAAGAGATAAATATATGTGCTTCTATATATATATATATATATATATATATATATATATATATATATAAAAAAAAAAAAAAGAGAAGAAGAAGAAGAGACTAGAAGGGAGAAATAAGGACTAGTTGTTGAAATATTTTTGAAAACTCGATCCATTGCCTCAAAAGCAAAAGTGGAGACTTTTGAACTTTTGAAAATCGAGTTTATTAAAGTCCGTAGAGGTGAATTCATTGTTTCAAACGCCTATCTTTCAAATTTTGGCGTAATCACCTAAAGTCAAGAAGAATAGCCACACATACCCATATTTCCTACCTCGAACCAAAAAGCCTAACAATTGAAAGCCACAAAGCCCCAATGATCCCAATAGCTTAATGTTCGATATTAGTAGAGTAGAATAATTTGGTGAGTGTTTGGAGTCAAGCATATGCATGTAAGTATAAATTCTTTCTATCTTTAATTTGCAAATATTGGATGCTTGAAGCAATTGTATGAATTGTGGTTTTTGGTAATGGTGAGTGACTAAGTGTTGTTGAATTTTGAGCTTGCGAATGTCTAAAGAATTGTCATTATAATTACAAGTTCTGAAAACGTGAAGTTGATCATTGATCTATGTGATGAGATGTTATCGTTGAGTTAATTGCTTATTGGTAAATTTTGCTTGAGGACAAGCAAAAGTTCAAGTTTGGGGGTGTGTTAAGTGTATATTTTTACACTTTATCGTATCTTTTTATTTGAGCTTTTGGTGTGTTTTAACGATAATTGGTGCTTAAAAAGTTGATTTATTGTATTTCAGGTATAAATTGAAGAATTGGAAAAGTATGGGGTCAAAACTGCAATTTTGGAGAAAATATGGGCAAAAAGTGAAACAAGCAGAATTTTCGAGAATCAAGGACCGCACGGCCGTGCGAATTTTAGGCATAAATCTCACACGGCCGTCCGGATGGGCGAAATAGCGCAGTGAAGGAATTTTAATTGCACAAGGAAACTGCCTTCTTCCCCAAGTTCTTCACCCTATATAAGACCAAGCCAAGCACACAATTAGAGGATCTTTTTCACGCAATTTCAAGAGCAACAAAGCAATAACGAAGACGAAGAATTCGAAGACTCCAAGCAAAGATTTATCGTCTATGATTTATTTTATTTGCGTTTTTGCTTTAATCATGAGTAGCTAAATTACTTATTTCTAGGATTTTATTTGGAACCCTATGTGGGATTTATGAACCCAATTCTATGATTTTATGCAAGTTTTAATTCCGGATTATTTCTTCTACTTGTTTTATTAAGTTCATGAAACTGGCCACTTTATGCGCTTTTATGTTATTGTTAATCGCATGAATCGGAAGATCGGGTTAATAATTAGAACTGTGGTAGAAGAGCCTTTGTGGTATTAACATAGGAATATAGTTAATCTCTTAGGTAGCCATTATTGAGATTTGTGCTTAATGCTGTGTTCTAGAATTAATTGCATAGGAATATAGTAATTGAATCTAGAGTATTAGAATCGTAATACACGCGGAAGCGGGTTATGATTATATTAGCATCTCAGGTTAATAATCCGGATTAATTGCTTGTATAATTGAAGGAATTGGGGGAGTAATAATCACATAGGGGGAAGAATAAAATCCTAGGCTTGTCTACTTTGATTAATCTTCGTATTTTTAATTGCTTTCTTGTTTTTGTGTTTTTAATTGTTTTAGTTTAATTTAGTTTATTAATCCTTTTTCGACTGTGTAGGGTGGGCTTGATAACAATTGGTAGAATTTAGCGTCTAGGATTAGATAATTAAATATTCCCTGTGGGTTCGATATCCGGACTTAATAGTCCACTATATTACTTGTACGATACGTGCACTTGCGTGTAGGTTTTCGACCAACAATTATCCACCCTATATAAGACCAAGCCAAGCACACAATTAGGGATCGATCTTTTACGCAATTTCAAGAGCAACAAAGCAATAACGAAGATTCGAAGACTCCAAGCATAGACTTACCGTTTATGGTTAATTTTATTTGCGTTTTTCCTTTAATTATGAGTAGCTAATTTTCTTATTTGTAGGATTTTATTTGGAACCCTATGTGGGACCCTGTTCTATGATTTTATGCAAGTTTTAATTCCGGATTATTTCTCCTACTTGTTTTATTAAGTGCATGAATTTGATCACCTTATGTGCTTTTATGTTATTGTTAATCGCATGAATCGGAAGATCGGGTTAATAATTAGAAGTGTGGTAGAAGAGCCTTTGTGGTATTAATATAGGAGTATAGTTAATCTCTTAGGTAGCCATTATTGAGATTTGTGCTTAATGATGTGTTCTAGAATTAATTGCATAGGAATATAGTAATTGAATCTAGAGTATTAGAATCGTAATACACGCGGAAACGGGTTATGATTATTTTAGCATCTTAGGTTAATAATCCGGGTTCATTACTTGCATACTTGAAGGAATTGGGGGAATAATAATCACATAGGGGGGAGAATAAAATCCTAGGCTTCTTTACAATTATTAAACCTTCGTTTTTAATTGCTTCCGTGCTCTTGTCTTTTTAATTTGCTTTTTAATTTAGTTTAATTTAGTTTATTCTCTCAAAATTCGACTGTGTGGGGTGGGCTTGATAATAATTGGTAGGATTTAGCGTCTAGGATTAAATAATTAAATATTCCCTGTGGGTTTGATATCCGGACTTTTAGTCCACTATATTACTTGTACGATACGTGCATTTGTGTGTACGTAGTTTAACCAACAATGGTACGGTCCCAATCAAAACGATACGACTCATAATATGTATCGGCTATGATTAATACCGTTAAATATCGCGAGATATCGTATCGTATCGCCAAAATATTATGATACGATATCGCTAGATATCGTATCGTATCATATCGATACGATATTTATGATATTAGCTAAAATATTAAAAAAATATAAAAAAATTTAAAAAATTAAAAAAAAAAAAAAAAAAAGAAGAAAACGAAATATTCACATTATCAGGGCCTGAAAACGTATTTCAATATTATTTAATATTTTTCTTACATATATAAGTTCCAAGAAATTTACACTCCAAGTTTTATATTGGTAAGAGAAAATAGGAAAATGCCAAAGTTGGAGTTGATGAAGTTGAAGAGATTGATGAACATGAGAATGAATACACTCGTTTGAAATTGGTGGATGAAAAAAGTTTAAGTTACATTGATCTTGAAGATTATGAGTGATAGATTAGTTTTTTACAAATCAGGGATCAAAATTTGAACTCTGTTGATGTTATTCTTATGAGCACTTATGACTTCTGTCCTATTTTATGATATATTTTATGATAGATTATTTTTTTTAAGAAATTAGAAATGAGCGGTTTGACTTTAAAATATTAAATTTTACATTTCTATACTATTTTTATTATATATATATATATATATATATATATATATATATATATATATATATATATATATATATATATATATATATATATATATATATATATATATATATATATATATATATATATATATATATATATATATATATATATATATATATATATATATATATATATATATATATATATATATATATATATATATATATATATATATATATATATATATATATATATATATATATATATATATATATATATATATATATATATATATATATATATATATATATATATATATATATATATATATATATATATATATATATATATATATATATATATATATTATTTTTAATAGTTGGTTAAATATCGTACGATACGATACACGGAGGAAAACGATACGCCGAATTTTTTGATTCGATAACCATGCTTTGCACCCTTGAATTGAATTTTTAAAACTTAATAACAACAACTTCATTATTTATTGGTGTATTTTTTTTCAGGGTGCAAAGTAAAAAATAAATTATAAATTAATAATTGGTTCATATTGTTTTAGTAATATATGAGTAATTAATAAATAATTGGTTACTAATTATTTATTGTTTTCTTAGTGATTTAATTAATGTAATACTAGTAGTAGAAACAGTTGTATTAGTGGTGGTGGTAGTAGTAGTGGTGGTGGTAGTAATAGATTGTTCAATAATTTATGAGCAATTAATAAATAATTGGTGGCTAATTATTTATTAATTATTTAGTAATTAATAAAAGTAAATGGGACCGTTAATTTCTTTTTAAGTTTACTTCCACAGAAGATGAGTAAATTGTGTTGAACTTACCTAATATCCAATAGGACTGTTGATTCTAACAAAATGATCAAATTTATGCTCAATGTTAGTTCCATATGTTTGAAAAGTTTGTGCAAAACATGCGCAATCTAATGTAAATTTCTATGCACAATACAATTGAAGTAAACAACTTTGTTTATTTCTCATTCTGCTATGGGTGTTTGATTTAAAGAAAAAATAAATTTACAACTTTATATTTTGAGAAAAACTTAATTTATACAAAATAATGGCTTGGATATTCATACTCACAACCGTTATAATCGTAATATAGCCTCTCATCCTTTGCGATATCACGAGTCGCAACGAGAAGCATGACACATTCTTTGTCTACGTTGTACCTCACGCATTTTATATTTAGTATTTTTCCTCCCTTTCTTGCAAAATATCAACGAGAAGCATCACACATTGTATTCATTTTCTTTTAATAAATGAAAATGATCAACAATTTTATTAAAAAAAAAAAAACACCAAGAATAAACATAAATATTTAAGTATCGTAAGTCTAATCGGAATATATAACAAAAAATAGAATAAGTGAGCAGTGTATCTAGTGTACGGTTTAAGTGCATATCTAGAACAAAACTACTCTTGAAGATTAATACATTGTTCACCATTAATTAAAATGTGTTTCCATCATTCATACACACACACCAATGTCTATGTGTGTAAATTGAAGCGGATATATAACAATTATGTGCATTCACCAGGTATAGCATCTACTATAAGAGAAGAAGATTGGGTTTAGAGACTTACGTTGTGTGATTGGTAATGCCACTTATAAATCGGGAGATGTTTCCAAGCCTATCTGCACATGCAACAAGACTTTTAGACGGGTCGGCTGAAGAAAGGAGAGTCATCATACTGTCACAATCATCTTCCTCCCGATTTCTTATGTAATCCACGTCGCCCGCAAATTCAGCGATCAAAGACATATCTTTTATGGGCCCGTCAGCTTGTACAGTATATCTACATTCAAATTTCACCTTGATTTTATAATTTATTGTATTCAACTAACCTATGCCACGTGTAATCGGCGCCTTCTTTTTCACCATTAAATTTACACGTGACAACAATCAAATTCAAATCAATCTAAAGATTCAATATGAACTTTTTAGTATTGACGTATATGTGATATTAGGGCTATAATTTATTATATATAATTGCATGAACTGATCATGTAATAACAAGAAAAAAAAAATTAAGTACCCTTCCAATGAATCAAATGCTACAACAAGAGGTGGGAATTCGCCTCTTCTATACAATGCCCTACACTTTTTCAGGGTCTCTACATCTTCTTTGCAAAGAACGTAACCTGACGAAAAAATTAATATGAGCAACCAAAATGGAAACAAATTAATTAATTAAAGAAGGTTTATAATTAAAATAGAACCTGCATGCCCCCGTTTTCGAAAGAAGATCGATTGGCTGATCTAGGAGCAATGCTAGGGTTGTAAGTGAGTTCGTTGCTGTATTCCAAATTCTGTGAAGTCATAGCTATGGCAAGAGATCTCATATGAGCTAGTCTTCTTGCAAGATCTTGTGATGGAACATGTGTCAATAATCTTCTACGTTTCTTGCGGACTTCTAATGTGCTTGTACGCCTACGTCGTTTCCTGATATCTGAAATTAGACGATACCAAGAATTAAATATATAATCAAAACATATCACAGTCTTTTGGTTGTCACCTTCAATGGTCAATATAAGATTAAAGCTCAGCAAGATAAAAGACTCATGTATGCATGCACGTGTTGTTACATGTCTGCATAATTAATGGAACGATAGATATGCAAAAGGCGGTCAAAGTAATTAATTAATCTCAAATTTGAACCAATCTCAAATTTTAATCACTAGAAAAGTTGGATACTAATTAATGGTGAAAATGGCTTATATTAATTGAAATATAATAGAATATAATGTATTCATGATCTTGCAGAAGCTTTTCATAGGATTAATAGAACAAATAAGGCTATTGAAAATCAGGACTAAACTTATAAATGAGTAGGTATTATTACAAACTCTGTTGTCAAGTATATATAACACAGACCATCCCTACCAAAAGTTCTTATTATACCATAGCTCATAATTTAAAACATCTTAATGACTCGACGCAAAGAAATTTATCTCGTTTTGGTAACTTGACGCATGAAGTTTTTCAAAACACGTAAGCCATGAATGCGATCGTCGATAAACATATTGCTAAAACACGTGTCTATTAATGTCCGTCTTTGAATATTGTGTTTATAAGCTATATTTATTCATGATGAGATCTTAAATAAAAAGGGGGTTAGAGGTACTTTAAAAAAAAATCTTAATAGCTCTCGAGCAGCTTATTTTTTGAATTATAAAGATCATTAAAACGAAATTACCAAACACTTTGGAAGAACTTATAAGGTCTTAAGCCTCATATAAAGTCTTTTTAACAACTTATAAGCTTAGCCAAACACCCTCCTTCAAATTTCTGACTCCGCCACCAAAAAATTGCATCCAAATATATAATAAAAATAAAATAACATAATTGTATCCAACCCAAAATAACTTATGATAGACCACTTTCATATTTGTTAGTTACAACTTTTTTTAATAATTAAATTTCTCGATATTATATAAAATAAATTAGAGTTTTTTTATGATGTCCACTATACTTATGTTGGTGATATGGAATTGAATATTTTTAACATATTTTTTTATTTAAGTTAAAATGAATTAAAATGATTTAGAAATCTCAAAACCAATGTTATCAAATCGAAAATACAAAGCGTGACGTTTTTCTATACATATTGTTTCGTATCGTTTATCATATTGTATCGTACGATATTTGACGCAATATTGAAAATAGTACAAAATATATATTTGTATAATAAAATATAGTTAAATTTAATATTTTTAATTAAACACTCATTCAAGAATCAAAATAGACCTACATGGCAATTTCAACATCAAATTATTAACAAGGAAAAAAAGTCATAGTTAATGGTTATAAATGCTACTGTTGGTTTTATTGATATAAATCGCCTTGGAATTATGTAATGTTGAACAATTTTGTTGGTGTTTTTTTTTTTGTAGTTATATTTTTCGTACTTTAATCGGGAGAATAATAATATTTATCTGAAACAATTTGTTTGTCTTTGCCTTAATTAAAGGGGAAAAAAAAAAAAAAAAAAAAAACCACAATTGTTGTAAATTTATTTTACTGATAATCGCCCAAATCACCTCTAATGTGCTGGAAATCACACAAATAATCCCAAAGATGCTGAAATCCACAAAATCACCCCAAACATGCTGAAAATTGCACAAAATCACCCCAATATGTGCTGAAAATTGCACAAATCACCAGGGTGAGCTGAAAATTGCACAAATCACCACCATAATAGATATGGTAAATATTTACCAATATTTAAAGAAAACCGATACATATGCCGGTTTATATATTTTTTATATAATCATACCGTATTGCAATATTTACTACAACGCTCAAAACACAAGTTTCCTATCAATCATAATGGCATGGTTATTAAAATCTTACGATTTGATTCATACCCAAATCGATTCAAATCTTAAATATCAAAAAATTGAACAAATCTTACGATTTAGGATTCGATTCTTACGATTTACAATGTTTATGATTTAACAAATTTTTTAAAATAAATTAGAAATAGTTAATGTGATTATTACGTTATTGTCAACACTTTATCCTCGTGAAATACTATTACATCAAATATATACAAAAAGAAAATCGCAATATAGTATTACTTTTGCTTTTATTCCTCATCTATTGTTGCACTACAAAGTAGGAGAATTAATTGAAATGAGTTCAATTCTATTATTGTTAAATAAGTATTATTTTATTTTAATTAGTTCTCAAGAGACAATTATATTTTTACTCGAATTTCTCTCACACCACCGATTATGATAGCATAACTGAGCTTCTATTACGTAATTTATTTAAATATTATTTCAATAATTTTTTTATATTCTTCAAGATTCAACTTTTATAGTTTGATTTTATAGACTTTAAAAGAAATATAAATTTTGCTATAACACTATACTTTTTTTAAAATATTTATATAATAAGTATCTATATTATTTTGAAATAATTACAAATCTTACGATTTACAATTCTATTCGATTTATGATTTAAATTTTTGACAAACCGATTTTCGATTCAATTAAAGAATTTTTTTTTGGCCAAAAAGATTTTAATATTTCATTATGATAAAGCGTTTGGTGGCCTCGATAAAATCTTTTGGGCCTAACACAAGGAAAAATAGTACCCCTACAATGGTAATATAATACAAACAACCCTATCAAGCCTATTTTCACATATTGAGATATTTTAGCCCATGAGCATTGCAGGAAGTCTACGCAACAAGAAAAACATTATAATTAGTAAGGATGTAATTCCACTTTGCACTCTTAAAAATTGAAATGTAGAATTTGGGCAGTTTGCATCCTCGAAAATAGTTAATGACACTTTCTACCCTTGAATTGAATTTTTAAAACTTAATGACAACAATTTCATTTTTTATTGGTGTATTTTTTTTCAGGGTGCAAAGTAAAAAATAAATTAATAATTAATAATTGTTTCATATTTTTTAGTAATATATGAGTAATTAATAAATATTATGTTACAAATTATTTATTGTTTTCTTAGTGATTAATAAATGTAGTAATAGTAGTAGAAATAGTAATAGTAGTAGTGGTTGTAGTAATTGTTGTGGTAGTAGTTGTAGTGATAGTAGTAGTAGATTGTTCAGTAATTTATGAGCAATTAATAAATAATTGGTTACTAATTATTTATTAATTTTTTGGTGAATAATAAAAGTAAATAGGACCGTTATTTTTTTTTTTAAGTTTACTTCCACACAAGATGAGTAAATTTTATTGAACTTACCTAATATCCAATAGACTGTTGATTCTAACAAAGTGATCAAATTTATACTCAATACCAGTTCTACATATGTGAAAAGTTTGTGCAAAACATGCGCAATTTAATGTAAATTTCTATGCACGTACAATACAATTGAAGTTAAAAACTTGGTTTATTTCTCTATCTGCTGTGAGTGTTTGATTTAAAGCAAAAATAAATTTACAACTTTATATTTTGAAGGAAAAACTTAATTTATACAAAATAATGGGTTGGATATTCATACTCACAACCGTTGTAATCGTAATATAGCCTCTCACCCTTTGCGATATCACGAGTCGCAACGAGAAGCACAACGCATTCTTTGTCTACGTTGTACCTCACGCATTTTATATTTTGTTTTTATCTCCCTTTCCTGCAAAAGATCAAATGATGTCATTAACAAGACAATATCACACATTGTATTCATTTTCTTTTAATAAATGAAAATGATCAACAATTTTATAAAAAAAAAAAAAAAAAAACAACAACAACAATAAACATCAAATACAAGTATCGTAAGCCTAATCGGTATTTAATTTATATTGTTGTTGTAGTTAAGGCCTGGATCTATTTATATGTGTTAATTACAACATCAATATAGTCTTTCGCCGGAAGTTAAGAATTGTATACCTTTCGTTTCTAAGAGCAACTCCAACCCATTGTTATCAAATGGGTTTATCAAATACTCATTTGATTACCAGGAATTTATTTTGATATCTCTATACAACTAGTGAACTCCAACCACAAGTATCAAAAAACAATTATCAAAAAATTTTATGATTATTTATATATTATTTATTTTGTAATCCATTTTAAATAATCATACAAACAATCATAAAAAATTTAAAAAGTATTATAAAAGAATTCCCAGGAGTTAATGATTATAAAAAAAAGTATTAAAAAATTAAGCAAACCTAGAAATTGCTTGAAGTGTCTTCAATGGTGATTAATACACCGAGTCGGCCTTCGATGATTGTGTGGAGAATTTTGATGTAGCAAATTATTATATATAAAAAGAATTCTTTTTTCCCGTGGAAATTCGGTGAAGATCTAGAAAAAAAAATCTGTTGAGATATTTTTGAGATTGTTTTTTCAAGTGGAAATTTGTTGAAGAGAAAAATTAATTTAATTTTGTTGAGATCTTTACTTGAAAAGAAAACTCAATTTTGTTGAGGTTTTTCTTTTTTCATGTGCTCCTATTTTTTAGGAGAATATTTGATAATTATATATCTAGGATGTATTTTTACTTCCGGATATTGGAGTTATCAAAATAGAACCCTATTTTAATAACCCCATTGAAGAATAAAATTTTTAAATTTGGGGAGTCAAATGAAGGTTAGGGGATTTGATACCCCATTTAATAACCCGTTGGAGTTGCTCTAACCCTAATTTCTCGAATGATAATTATACATATCTTTCCTTATCGATTCTAATTTAGTGATGATCTATTTTAGTGATGACACACACATCACAGAACATTTATCATCTGGAAATTAAATCATAGAAAGACCATTCTAATTGACTTTACAACTCATTAATTCACACTTACGGTAAACTTTAATCAAATCAATCAAAATATATGATA